AAATTTTTATTATTTATAAAAATAACGAAATGTTTGCGTAGAATTTTATAAAAATTTTTTTAAGTTATTGAATTCTTTTGAAAAATTTTATTGAAATAGTAGATATTGAAAAGTTTTGAAAGTAATTGGAATTTCGACAGGAATTGTATTTAAATTATTGAAAATAATTGAATTTTGGAGAAGAATTTTATTATTTTTATACAGATAATTAAAATTTTGACGAGAATTTTTTAAAAAAAATTTAATAACTGAATTTTGGAGAAGAATTTTATTACTTTTGAAAATAATTGAAATTTTGCCAAGATTTTTATTAAAACTTTTAAAAATAATTGAATTCTGAAGAAGAATTTTATTATTTTTATACAGATAATTGAAATTTTGACGAAAATGTTTTTAAATTTTCAAATATATTTGAATTTCTGCGAAGAATTATTTTACTTTTAAGAAAATTGATTTTCTGCAATCATTTGTATAACTTCTCCAAAATTTAATTTTCTTTAGCGTTTTTAACTAAAATTCTTATAATATTTTTAATCATTAATTTTATTTGGTTCAAATAAATATTTAAAAAAAAATTGCCATGTAAAAGTGGGAGAACGACATTAAAAAATTTAACTAATTTAAGAAGAATTTGAATTAAAAAAATCCCTGACTTTTTCCTGAATTCTCTGACTTCCCTGACCTGTGGTAACACAATTTTATTTTTTTTCCAAAAATTTAATTCTCTACACAATTCAGTAGAATTTTTCCAATATTTAATTTGCCACTGAGTTAGAAAAAATATAATTATTTTTTCATATTTTGAAAAAAAAAGATTTCCTCCTGCAAAAATTAACTTTCTCTCAACGATTTTTGTACTATATTTTTCTTTATTTTCCAATTAGAGGTCTGCTTATAAAAAAAAAAAATGGTAACCAGAAATTTTTTTTCAATTTAGAGTAAATTATTCTGTCCATCAAAGTTTGAATGCCCTATTGTTAAAAATAACCGTTGGCAGGGAAAAATCAAGGTTTAAAATTTTCCTTCCTTCTATTCAAACCGAGAGAGATAGTCGTTCCAATAGCCTTTTATAATTGAGGGCGTCAACCGCAGACATTCCCTTTTTCTGTTGGTCTTAAACGAAATTTCTGCAAATGTAGTTTGATTTTGATATTTTTCTTCTATCGAAATTTAAAAGATTTCCAAGTAATTATTTGCCCACGATTTAATTATTATGATAATATTTCATTTTTCTATTCATTTTTCAATTCATATTTAAATTCATATTTAAATTCATAAATAATTATTGATACTGTATATAAATGATCTTATAATTATTCATAAGATTCAATTATTGATACAAGATGATAAAAATTGACGCAATTGTCAAAATTTCCACCGAGTGTAAACTGGTTGTGTGTACTTGTATATAAATAATAATGACACGTTTAAAAATTTAATGGGGTCGGTTATAAATAAACCTTTTATATTAACATTCGATTAAATAATATTTATTGGTTTTCGTATTTAAAAATTGAAAATTGTATTGACGTTTCCCTTCTTTTTTTTTTCCTCTCCATATAGTACCGAGAGCAATATATCTAATCTTATTGGTCTGTTTTGTTGTAAAAGAGATTAAAACTCAGCGATAAAGTTGATCAGTTGTTGCACTATGAATTTTTCATGATCACACTTTATCAGAACGTGTTCATTAGTAAGCGTGTCTAACTGAGAATTAATTCTTAACATTCTTTGAAGAAATGTCTACACCTGTGGAAACAAGTCAATATATATAATTATACTCGTTTACTCGACTCAACTTTGCTATTTTCAAAGAAAAAGGAAAATTAATTTATGAAAAAGAAAATAGTTTTTCACTTTAGAAATTTTTCCCTTATTTCTGAATTTTTGCGAAAAAAATTTTTTTGAAACCATAAAATTTGAAAAATTCACCCTTTTTTTTTTGCTCTGAGCTTATTTCCCAGGGAGATTTAATTCTCATATTTAATGCACAATAAGTGAGCATACACATGGGAAGATGAGTAAACATTCACTAACCACGAAAGCACTTTATAAGACTCTATAGGTGAGAGAATCCACTCTGTTTAGTCTCGTAGGCGCCAACTGACCACGTATCTTAAGTAATAATCTCTTTCGTATGAACTCAAGTGTCAAGTAGAAGTAAAGTTCATCGACATAGACGATCGCTTCGAACCAGGACGCTTTGATTTTTCCAGATCATGATAAAAGTCTCAGAAATTCCAGAACAAACTTCAATTTCAATTATTCTACATTTGAGATATGAATTTTTTCCCCTTTTTTGCAAAATTGAAAAACTCTTCCCACGATATCAAATCAGTAATAAAAACAAATGAAAAAACAATTTAATAACAGGAGAAAGGAGAATTTTTATCTTCTTCTATTTATCTTCTACTCTCAGAGTCTCAGAAAAGATATTTATTTGACTCAGAGTCCAATAAATTGTTCATTTGTTACAAATAAATTTTACCTAGTTGAAATAAATTTTATTTATTTTTACTAAATTATTTATTTGGTACAAATAAATTTTATTCGTTGCAGATAAATTTTATTTGGTCCAAATAAATTTTATTTCTGCCAAAAAAATTGTATTTGCTTCAAGTAAATTTTATTCGTTGCAAGAAATTTTCTTTGGTTCAAATATAAACTTTATTTGGTTGAAATAAATTTTCCTTGTTTCAAATAAATTTTATTTGCTTCAGGTAAATTTTATTCCTTGCAAGTAATTTTATATTAAAAAATAAAAATTTGAAATAATTTCTTAAAAAAATTCAATTCGATTTTTTCAACAAAATTAATTCTACAAAATTTTTAGTTAAAATTATGAAAAAATTTAAATTCTCAACATTTTACTTAAAAACTCTTTCAAAATTTTAAATGTTTCTAAAAATCCATACTATAATGCTTTTAATATTCAATTATGTAAAATTTTAACTAAAAATCATTTTTATATCAATTTTTATTAGAAAATTCGACGAGAATTCAATTATTTAAATAAAAAATTTATTGAATATTTGAATTTTTCTTAAAACTGAATTCTCATAAAGAATTTTATCAATAAATTTTTAAATAATTGAATTCTTTTGACAAATTTTAATAAAATTTTTAAGAATTATTATATTATAAATTTAAATAATTGAATTTTTTGGCGAAGAATTTTATTATTTATCAAAATAATTGACGTCTGCCAAATAATTTTATTAAAATTTTGAAAAATATTCGAATTTCTATGAAGAATTTCATTATCTATAAAAATAATTAAATTCATTTTAAGAATAATGAAATTCTTCGCAGAAATTGAATTATTTTTCAAAATTCTAATAAAATTATTTGATAGAATTCAATTATTTTGATAAAAAATAAAGTTATTTTCAGAAATTCAATTATTTTTAAAAATTAATTTTTTTCAGGAATAATTTAATTTCTACGAAGTACTTTATTAGATGCTTATAAAAATAATTGAATTATTGCGAAGAAGTATATAAAAAAAATGTAAATAATTTAATTCCTATGAAATGTTTATTATTTATAAAAATAACTAAATGTTTGCGTAGAATTTTATTAAAATTTTTTTTAAATAATTGAATTCTTTTGAAAAATTTTATTGAAATAGTAGAATTAAAATTTTTTTTAAATAATTGAAATTTCTTTGGTTCAAGTAAGTTTTATTTGGTTCAAATATAAACTTTATTTGGTTGAAATAAATTTTCCTTGTTTCAAATAAATTTTATTCGTTGCAAGTAATTTTCTTTGATTCAAGTAAATTTTTTTTGGTTCCAGTAAATTTTATTCGTTGCAAGTAATTTTCTTTGATTCAAATAAACTTTAATTTGGTTAAAACAAAGTTTCCTTATTTCAAATAAATTTTATTTCGTTGAAATCAATTGTTTTTTGGTTTAAATATATTTTATTTGTTTGAAATAAATTTTCGTGTTTCAAATAAATTTTATTTGTCAAAAATAAATTTTCCTTGTTTCAAATAAATTTTATTTCATTCAAGTAAATTTTATTCTTTGCAGATAATTTTATTCGGTTAAAATAAATTTTATTTGATTCAAGTAAATTTAATTCCTCGCAGGTAATTTCATTCAGTTCAAATAAATTTTAATAAAAAAAAAATTAAAATTGCCGTGTAAAAAAGAGAAAACAATATTAACATGCCCTTAAGTCAAAAATAGATGATTTTCGTCCCTCTCTTAAAGAAAAAACAAAAGAAACTGCCATCATCAATCATCAATTGATGTAGAAGAATCGATAATTTATATCAGCTGCGCCTTTGTTGCAGACGAGGCTGCTCATTTCGAACACACAATACTCGATAAATAACACGATGCTGTAATGTAGGCGATACTGTTTATTTTCCAGTGACGCAGACTTTCTTACATAAAACTAAATTCCAATCAAGGTCGAGGATAAAAATAAATCTGATCCGAATTTATTTTCCTTTCTTGTCGTCGCAGACAAACTTTCTCTTTGATAAAAAGAAGAATTTTTGCCTAGGTTTTTCTTTTCTTTAGGAACTTTTTTCAAAATAGGTACATATTTCTGTGTCAATGCCAAAAAAGAACTGTACAATTTTCATTTATTTTCACTTCATTCGCCTTTTGTATTTTCTCTCTTTCTCTCAAATTGCCCCAAAAATTCTGCACGTTCGCCTTTTTATTTTCTCTTTTTCCCAAATTTTCCCAAAAAATTCTGAACGTTCGCCTCTTATTTTCTCTTTTTTCCAAATAGTCCCAAAAAATTCTGAACGCTCGCCTCTATTACAATTTTCTCTTTTTTCCAAATGTTCGTTCGAATGAACGAAATATTTTTCCAGTATAAATATTTTCAAACCATTTATTAAAAATATGTTCAAAAATCCCTTTATTAAAAATTAAAAACAAATGAATTATTTATAAAGAAATAATAGTTTTTAAAGAATTTTAACAATATTAAAATATTGTCTACTGATGAAAATAAGAATAATTTTTCTTTTACAGGCATTACATTGTCACTGCAAGAGCCATCAGAAACAATCAACAATGCAATACCTGGTGAAAAAAATTTGGAAGAATATGACAAGGAAAATGAAGAAGGAATTCGAAGATTCGCCTGTCCTGTTGGATTTTTTCGAATGAAACGTTTCTGTTATTATTTAAGTGCAGGCAGATCTCCTTGGTATGAGGCTCATTATCATTGTAAAGATAGAAATGCCACTCTCTCAATTCTCGATAGATATGGAAAGGATAAAATGTTGCGAAAGCACCTAATGGGTGACCAATATAGTGAGTATATTTCAATTTAAGAAACGACGTTTCCCGGTTAGATAAAAATCATTTTTTTTTATCACTAGTTTCTTGATTTTAAAGTATGTTAATAATGTATATATAAGTAAATTTAATAAATAGATTAAATTTATTTATCAATATAAACAGTTTTTGATAAAATGATTATTTCAAAAGCTTTACAGCATAAATATATCTCTTAAAGTTGCGAAAGTTTAAGTGAATGACAATTTTGTTACTTTCTTTCAATTTGAACTTTAATATTACAAAATATTACTTTTTGCTTTGGAAAATTTTATTTTAACAATGTACATTTAACGAAAATTAAAAAATACATATTTAATAGTCTCCACCATTTGGTAGAAAATTTAAAATTATTAAAAATAATCAAAAATTCAAAAAACCAAATTTCTAAAAATTCAACATTTTTTTTCTCTTTTCTGGCATTTAGCTTCATTATTTTTGTGCTTTTGAAAAATACTTTACTTAATTTAATAGACTCGACTCTTTGGTAAAAAATCCAAAATTATAGAAAATTATCAAAAATTCAAAAATCCGAATTTCTTAAAATTCAACAATTTTTCTTCTTTTTTGTGGCATTTAGCTTCATTATTTTTGTGCTTTTCAAAAATACTTTACTTATTTAATAGTCTCGACTCTTTGGTAAAAAATCCAAAATTATAGAAAATTATCAAAAATTCAAAAATCCAAATTTCTTAAAATTCAACATTTTTTCCTCTCTTTTATGGCATTTACCTTCATAATTTTTGTGCTTTTGAAAAATATTTTACTTATTTAATAGTCTCAATTCTTTGGTAAAAAATCCCAAATTATCTAAAATTATCAAAAATTCAAAAATCCAAATTTCTTAAAATTCAACATTTTTTCCTCTCTTTTATGGGATTTAGCTTTATAATTTTTGTGCTCTTGGAAAATACTTTACTTATTTATTAGTCTCGACTCTTTGGTAAAAAATCTAAAATTATCGAAAATTATCAAAAATTCAAAAAACCGAATTTCTTAAAATTCAACATTTTTTCTTCTCTTTTGTGGAATTTAGCTTCATTATTTTTGTGCTTTTGGAAAATACTTTACTTATTTAATAGTCTCGACTCTTTGGTAAAAAATCTAAAATTATAGAAAATTACCAAAAATCCGAATTTTTTAAAATTCAACATTTTTTCCTCTCTTTTATGGGATTTAGCTTCATTATTTTTGGGCTTTTGAAAAATACTTTATTCATTTAATAGTCTCGACTCTTTGGTAAAAAATCCAAAATTATAGAAAATTATCAAAAATTCAAAAATCCGAATTTCTTAAAATTCAACAATTTTTCTTCTTTTTTGTGGCATTTAGCTTTATTATTTTTGTGCTTTTGAAAAATATTTTACTTATTTAATAGTCTCAATTCTTTGGTAAAAAATCCCAAATTATCTAAAATTATCAAAAATTCAAAAATCCAAATTTCTTAAAATTCAACATTTTTTCCTCTCTTTTATGGGATTTAGCTTCATTATTTTTGGGCTTTTGAAAAATACTTTATTCATTTAATAGTCTCGACTCTTTGGTAAAAAATCTAAAATTATCAAAAATTATCAAAAATTCAAAAAACCGAATTTCTTAAAATTCAACATTTTTTCTTCTCTTTTGTGGGATTTAGCTTCATTATTTTTGTGCTTTTGGAAAATACTTTACTTATTTAATAGTCTCGACTCTTTGGTAAAAAATCTAAAATTATCGAAAATTATCAAAAATTCAAAAATCCGAATTTCTTAAAATTCAACAATTTTTCTTCTTTTTTGTGGCATTTAGCTTCATTATTTTTGTGCTTTTGAAAAATATTTTACTTATTTAATAGTCTCGACTCTTTGGTAAAAAATCCAAAATTATAGAAAATTATCAAAAATTCAAAAATCCGTATTTCTTAAAATTCAACAATTTTTCTTCTTTTTTGTGGCATTTAGCTTCATTATTTTTGTGCTTTTGAAAAATATTTTACTTATTTAATAGTCTCAATTCTTTGGTAAAAAATCCTAAATTATCTAAAATTATCAAAAATTCAAAAATCCAAATTTCTTAAAATTCAACATTTTTTCCTCTCTTTTATGGGATTTAGCTTCATTATTTTTGGGCTTTTGAAAAATACTTTATTCATTTAATAGTCTCCACTATTTGGTAGAAAATTCAAAATTATTAAAAATAATATAAAATTCAAGAAACCGAATTTCTTAAATGAAAATTTGCTGACTTTTTACTAGTTTTATTTCCGCTTTCCAAGACAAAAATATGGTAACTAACATATTTAACAATAAATGAATATCTAATGATAGAATCAAACGAAAATAAAAATCTTGTAAGTTTTGTTAGATTAACAAATTTGTAAGAATTCAATCATTTTCATTAAAAAAAAAAATTAATCACAAGAATTCAATTAATTTTAATTAATTTTTAATTAAATTACTCGAAAGAATTCAATTATTCCCAATTTTAATTTTTCATCAAAAAAATTCAATTATTTAAAAAATTGATAATAACATTCTTCACAAGAAATCAATTATTTTCTTTAACCAATAAAATTCTTCGCAAAAATTATAATATTTTTAAAACTTTTAATAAAATTCCTTGAAAAAATTTAATTAATTTAAAAAATTTTGATAAAATTCTTCACAAGAAACTTTCAATAGATTTTTAATTAAATTTCTCGAATGAATTCAATTATTTTGATAAAAAATAAAATTAATCGTCGGAATTCAATTACTTGCAATATAATTTTAATTAAATTTCTCCAGAGAATTCAATTATTTCTAAAAGTTTTGATATTATTTTTTGTATGAATTCAATTATTTTTTTTACAAATTTTAGTATTATTTTTCGAAAGAATTCGATTTTTTTTATATTTTTAATAAAATTTTTCGCCACAATTCAATTATTTATAAAAATGTTTATACAATTTTTTATAATTTTTTAATTTAATTATTTTAAAAAATGTTTGATAAAATTCATTAGAAGAGTACAATTATATATAATACAATTGTAATTTAATTCCTTCAAAAAATTTAATTATTTTCAAAAATTTTAATTAAATTCTTCGATACAATAATTCAATTATTTCCAAAAATATTTATTCTTCATTTCAAGATGCAAAAATTCCTTTTTGTCAAGTAAATAAATTTTTCATTAAAAATATTTCCAGAAAATAATACGTTTTGCAATATAATTATTATAATAGATTTTGAATTTATAAAAATTATTTAGTCCAAAGCCTGCAATTAATGAAAAAGTAAAGTCCTTCATTTGAACGTTCGAAACTTTAGAAACATTATTTTAATCATTTTAGTGAAACTGGAGAGATGGATAGGTGGAATTTACAATTACAAATTGAAAATTTGGACCTGGGGAACGTCGGGGAAGCAAATTGATTTTCAAAGTTTTGAGAGGCAACCCCAAAACCCACTGCCATACAGTTGTATTGTAATGGACCCGTCAGCAAAGTACAAGTGGAAAGCAAAGAGTTGTTTCGAAAGCAAATATTTTGTTTGCGAAGTACCTGCAGGTGGAATAGGTAAGTTCACATAATATTCCGTTTTGCAATTTTCAATTATGCAAAGAGAATTCATTTTTAAAAGAATTTAGTTTAAATTCCCCTTTCTATAAATTTTCAAAATTAATATTTAAAAATTTACAAAAGAAAAATTTTTATTTCTGACAATTTAAATCTTTCTTTCCACCTTCAAATAACACTTTCTCTTTAAATAAAGAACTTAAATAAAGAGCTTAAAAGATAGAAAAAAAAGACAATAAAAAAATGCAATAAAAAAGACAAAAACCCATCAAACATGACTCATGCACGCAGATTTTATTTCCTCACATAAGAATTGTGTTTGTCTTTTTAAAATTTACATATAAGGGTCTATACTTTCTCACCACCTACATAGGTTTCAAAGTAATGTAGACAGGCCATTAAGTACATCCAACATGATAATTGGTTTAGTCCTTTTTTAATTTTTAATTTCTGCTTTTTTCAAATTGCGCAAAAGAAATGAAATTTTCAACATTTAACAGGCAGGCGTCGAAAGAAGACAGTCGATCCGTTTGCCCCCGAAAATCAACGTCTAAGGATTAGAAAGAAGGGAAAGAAGAACATCTTGAAGGAAAATAAACGCAAGAAACATCGGCAAAATAAAGGTAGAATAGCTCTTGAGAAGAAAGAGTGGGCACAACAAAACTCAAACCAAGAATGGAATCACGGAGTTAAACTTGGATCAAGGCCACCGTCGAGGTAAAATTACATTTTCTCCCAATTGCAATTTTAAGAGATCTTAAATTCTCGAATAATTTACAAACAAAAAATATGGCTCGGAACAATAAATTAAAACACATTTTTAGAAACGAAAATTTCAACAACAAAAAAAGAAACTTACACGGTCTATTTATGAAAATTATAATTACAACTCTTTTAAAATTCAATTAATTTTGAAACATTTAAGTAAAATTATTCATTAAATTAATTTATAAATTTATAATTTTTATTTTATGATAGTTCTTCAAGAATTAAGTTATTTAAAAATAAATTATTGTGAGAAATAGAATAAATTTAAGGCTTTTTTTAGAATTCGTGGTAATTTTATAGTTTATGAGTCAAACAAATATGGACAAAAATTTAGAATTTTCTTATGAACTCTAAAAATTTAATTTTTCCAGTACTTTCAATAAAAATTCCTGACTTTTCCCTGTTTTTCCTGACCAATTCTACTTTCCCTGATTTTTCCCTAAATTCCTTAAATTTTTTCTGACCTGCGGCAACATTTGATTGCAATTTCATTTTTCCTGACTTTCTCCTAATTTCCTCAATTTTCCTAACCTGCGGCAACTCTGAAAAAAAATCCAAACAGAGATTAAAAACAGTAAATTAAAACTAAAAATACGAAATAAATTATAACAAAAATTGAAAAAATGTACTATTTTTTCTAAAATTCACAGAATAAGAATGGCACCAGGAGCAAGGCCAAGTGACAGAATGCGTCATCATCCAATCGACAGGACCTATCAAGGATCAATGATACCCCGAGTTTCGCAAATTTCATCCCAGGGCAAAGAATACGGAGCGTTTCTAGGCGACAGTCCAGCCAATATTCAACGTCAACAAAGCCTATCATCAAATATAAACAATGCTCTCACCGAATTTCACGAGCAAGTTCTCCTGAAAACTTGAAGAATTTACACTTAATTTGTTCCTTTCTATTTATTTTACCATCCAGCCAGTAAGATTCAAAAAGAAAAAAAAAATAATAATAAACTACAGCGAGGAAAGTACCAAAACTGTAGTTTAAAAAACTGGTACGTTCAAAAAAATGCATTTTATCGAAAACGAAAATTTAGTTACCGTTACGATAACTAATGAAGGCTATTAGATAGATTTAAGACAATTACTGTTACTATTTATTGATGTGTTCAACTGAAAAAAATTCACGTTAATATTCCTCTTTCCTGGCGCACCATCACGAATTTTAAACATTATAAAAATCTAAATAAATCTTGCCCTGAAGAGTGACTACTAGTCGATGGAACCAAGTATTGATTAAATCGTACTTGAAAATTAAAACTAGAAAACAATGAAATAATATTAAAAAAATAGTGTTCAATCAAATATCTCTTCATCTATAAAAAAAATTTGTTTTAGCGAATTTTTAAAACAAAAACTTTTGAATTTATAATTTCTCCACTTACTGTCATTAAGTCACACTAAGTTTTCTTTAATTTTAGTCTAAATAATATCGAATAGAATCTAAGAATTTTTCTTTCCTCTTTTTTGATACTTGATTCGAATGTAAATATGTTCAACAAACACGTCAAATTTTTAAGTAAAATAGACATTGTGTTAGAAAATAATAAATCATCCTATGTGTACCTTTGTAAATATCATTGATTTCTTTTTTGATGTCGCATTATTTATCAGTTTAATTAATATATTAAAAATCTGTTTGATTATAATTTTTATTCGTAACTGACACGAAAAAATAATTTCATTCTTGTATTGTTTAATATAATTTACTTAAAATTACTGTAATTTCAATTAAGTTTCTCTTAAGTTAACTTAATTAAAATAAAACAAAAATTACAACTCGAAAGATACTGAAAAGAGTGACTAAAGTTCCATTAGTTTTTTAATAAAGAAAAAACGAATTTTTCTGATAATTAAAAATATTTTTCGGTTTTTTTCCTTATTTGCACTTATGAGAAAAGGAGTCGAGACAAAAATGTAACCAGTCCGAGTCAAATAAGAGAAAATTTTACTTAAAACTACAAATTAAATTTTTCATGACTATAAAACATTTCTTTATGTTTTGTAATAAAAAAATTAAAGATCACCGAGTGATAAAATCATTATCAATTCAATTATTTTCAAGAAATTTTGAAATAAAATTCTTCTTTAAATTGATTATTTTCAATCATTTTCGAAAAAGTTCTCTAACAATATTCAAAGCCATTTCAATTATTCGAAAATTCTTCAATTAAATAGGTATATATTAGAAAAAATAAAAACTTAAAATAATAAAACACAAATTCAATTAAACTGTTTCAAAAAAATTAAATTCAAAATCAAATTATTTCTCAAAATTCACATTATTGCTTTTAATATTCAATTATTATCTAAAATTTTAACTGAAATTCAGTTTAAAACAATTTTATTTACGAAAATAATTGAATCCCTGTAAAAAATTTAATTATTTATGAAAATAATTGAACGATTGCGAAGAAATTTATGAAAAATTTCTAAATAATTGAATTCCTGTGAAATTTGTATTATTTTATGAAAATAATTAAAGATTTGTGTAGAATTTTATTTAATTTTTTTTAAATATTTGAATTCTTTTAGAAAATTGTATTAAAATAGTAATAGTAGTTATTAAAAACAGGCCTGATTAAAAATCATTGAATTGAGGCAAATTTTTGAAAATAATTGAAATTATGACAAGAATTTTATTAAAATTTTTGAAAGCAATGGAATTTTGGAGAAGAATTTAATTATTTTTAAAGATAATTGAAATTTTGAAGAGAATTTTGAAAAATTTTTAAATATAATTGAATTTCTGTGAAGAATTTTATTACTTTTGAAAATAATTGAATTTCTGCAATAATTTGTAATTTCTCTAAAATTCTCTAAATTACATCGTACAATTTACGAACTTTTCTTTTTTCTCAATCAAATTACGAACTTTAAGGACCATTTTTCAAAAAAGGGACTTTTATGGACTTGAAGCAAATTTACGGACCTAGTTCGAGCCTTGGAGTTAATCAAGTCATAAAATATAAAAATTTTGCAAAAAGAAAATTCTTACCTTGATGTACGTGCAGAGTGCGTCTCCTTTTATCTCATTGTACGAATCCCTGTAGAGCTTAATTTTATCCTTTCCTTTCTCATCTCGAGCGATGAGACCACATTTTGTGAATAATTCCTTAACCTCCTCCATGGTAATATCCAAGGGTAAACCGTGTACATAAATCGAGGTATTGTGTTGCTCATCAACTTCAAACCAAGTCGCTGGCTCCTGTGTTTTTCGCTTGGCGTCCAGTCTTTTCTGTTCCTTGTCAGCTTTTGTCTGTGCAACAGAAACTGTAGGTTTGGCAATTGGTTCTTCAGCATTTGGATTATTGAAACCGTAACTCATTTGGTACCTGGCCATAAAATCATCATCAACCTAAAAGAATAAAAATGGAATTAAAATAAGGAAATTTCAAAAATAAATTCAATTCAAAAAGACAAAAACATATAAAAAAAAATATTCAAAAAACTACCTTTTTCTGGAATTTTTAATTAAACTTTTTTTAAAATACAAATTGTCCAAAACATCAATTTGAAACCTTTAATAGTTGAATTTTAATTCAATTATTTATAAAGAAATTATAAACAAAATTATAAATCTACTAAAATTCGAAAAGTAATTTAATTTACGAAACTGGAGCATTTTCCTTAAAATATAATTTTAAAAATACACTAATAGCAATAAATATGTAAATATAAATAGTAACTATAAATATATAAATATTAGCTGAAAATTAATTTAAATCACCTTCTGAAAACATTAGATTACTCACCTTTGGAAACCAAGCGTTTTTCTCTCGATCCCACATGTAAACACTGCCATCGTTTGGATCCGTGTATGTATGTGTATCGTTTTCAAATCCATAAATTGGATTTTGTGTGGATGTGGTGGGATGAGGCGGATTATCACTATCCACTTGATCAGATTTATTCTCTTCACTTTTATCCTTTTCCTCCTTCACAATCCATTCATTTTTCTCTTGATCGAATTTATACGTTAAATTTGTATTCTTATCAGTGTAGACATAATTTTTCCCGTCAAATTCATAATTTCTTGTCGAATCTTCCATTGGTACACTTTCCTTTGTACTTTCCTTTGTTTCCTCACGTTCTCCTAAAGAAAATTACAAACAAAATTATTAAAAATATTCTTTTTTTGAAAAACTTTTCTTTATTAACAAAAAAAAAAAAAATGAAAAAACTAAACGTTTACTACCGCAACAGTTTGCAAAAAAAAGTTTTGTTCCTACTTTGAAAGTAAACACGAACGAAAATTTTTTTCTATTCTATTTGAATATTTTTCGACATTTCATACATTACTATACAAAAAAGAAGAAAATGAACTTATTTTTTCTTAAATAAATAAATAAATAAAACTAAAAATTAAAGATTTACTTAGTCAAGAATTAATTTTCTTGATTTAAATAATTTTTGCTTTTACAAAAGAAAGCAAATTGAAAAAAGAAATAAATATCGTCGTTCATTTCGTTCGAAATTTTACAAACTTATAAAAGACCACTCGCCCATTATTTACAAAATTTCCATTATTTTTAAAATAAAAAATTCATGCAACTTTAGGTAATAAATAATTTTCATAAAAAAAGAGAACTTACTCCACGCATTTTGCTTTGCATCCCAAACGAGTTTCTTTCCAGTTTCTGGTTCCGTATAAATGCAAGTATCACCTTCGTAAGTTAAATGCTTCGAATAATCATCGGGACCTGGAATTTGCTCCGAGATTTTTTTACCACCAAGAACATTATCCTCCTCTTCCTCTTCATCAGTATCAAATTCTTCAATTTGCTCTTCTTCTTCTTCGTCTTTTCGAACTTTTGGCTTTTCATAAACAATTTTTCGATTTTCTTTCGAATTCCCATAACTTTCCTCATCATTTTTTTCATTATTTACGCCTTCTTTAACATCTTTCGTGTTTAATTCCACTTCACTAGAGCCAATTTCATCACTAGGTTCCATTTTTTATATAAATTTAATTTAGAAAACTGAATATTGCTTAATTGTTTCAGTATGTGCGGTTTTCTGGAAAAAAGAAAAAATTTAAGGTTATGTTTGATCGTGTACACATTCTTACAAGATCGAACAAATCTGAATGAATCAAACTTTTTAACTAGGTAAATAATAAATAAGTAAGGAAAGTTGATATTCTAATTTCGTTAAAATTACAAAAATAGGGAAAATATTCAAAGTATTGAACGTAAACAAATAAGATCGACAGAGGTTAGGTGAAACTAAAATGATCGAAATTTTACCACAAAATTAGACTTACAGACAACAAAACACTTATTTTTCATAAAACTGTTACTTCCGGTACAAATTGTAACTGTTGTCACTTTTCAATTGTTATTAAAAACATCAAATTGTTGTTAATATTTGGATGTTAAACATTTTACGAGCTTGACGTATTTTTTTTTGCATCGTAAGCAGCGCACCTAGCGGAGAAACTATGAAGTTTGCTATCAATTGTGCAGTAGTGGCAACATAAAAAAAGAAAAATTCAAATTTGAATTAAAGAAAATTTTTCAATTACACGGAACTTGCTAACTAATCTTTACAATTTAATTAGATAATTAACACTATTTCTAAATAATTGTTTTATTTTAAATAATTGATTTTTATTAATTAATTAATTAATATGACATTAAGAATTATAAAATAAGCCAAAAGTTGATCACTTATAGTAAAAATATTGAATGTTGAAAATTATGGAAATAATAATTATTGATAATTATTAATTATTAAAATAATTTATTTATTTTTATTAACTTATTGTTTAAAAAATAATATTATTATTTTTTCACTATTAATTAATAAAAAACTTTCAAAATAAAAAAGAAACAAATTGGTTAATTAATTAACTAAATCAATTAAATTTAATTACTTCAAATTAATTAACAATTGGCAAAATAAATAAAAAAGCAAATTAGTTAATCAAAAATTCCTTTAATTAATTAAATTTATCAACTTACTTTGCATTAATTGAAAATTACGAAAAAAAATTAAAAAACAAATTGATTAATTAATTAATAATTTTGACAGTAAATTTAAAATTTTCAAAATTAATAAAATTATGTTCATTAAAATGCTTTCAATTAATTGAAAAGTTTCCAAATAAATAAGAAACAAATTGGTTAATTAAAAAATACTTTTAATTAATCAAATTAAATTTAAAAAATCCCTTAATTAATCGAATTAAATTAAAAAAATCATTTTGATTCGTTAAAAAATTTAAAAATAAATAAGAAACAAATTGGTTAATTAATTAACTAAATCAATTTAATTTTATTACTTCTAATTAATTAGCAAATTGTAAAAATAAATAAAAATCAAATTAGTTAATAGAAAATCCCTTCAATTAATTAAATAGAATTCATTAACTTACTTTTCATCAATTGAAAATTTTCAAATTAATTAAAAAAAACAAATTGGTTAATTACTTAATTAATAATTTTGAGAATAAATTGATACTTTCCAAAACAAATAAAGAACAAATTAATAAACTAAAAATACTTTTAACTAATCAAATTAAATTAATTAAATTACTTTAATTAATTAAAGAATTTCAAAATAAATAAGAAGCAAATTGGTTAATTAAAAATTCTTTTCATTAATTAAATTAATTAAATCAATTTAATTTAGAGAAAATTTTCAAAATGATTAAAAAACAAATTAATCCACTAAAAATATTTATTTATAATTTATAAATTAATTAATAATTTTGAAAGAAAACTAAACATTAGAAAATAAATTAGTTAAAATATTTTCAATTAATTAATAACAAATTTCCAAAATAAATAAAAAACAAATTGGTTCATTAAAAATACTTTTCATTAATTAATAAATAATTTGGAAAGTAAATTCAAAATTTGAAAATTAATTAATTAAATTATTTTCAATTAATTACCAATTATAAATTAAATTAACAAATTAACAAAATAAAATAGAGGAACAAATTATTAGAATAGAATAAAAAAAAATTGTTTAAAAATTTATAAATAAATTAAAATCGAAATTGTTTAATTTGAGAAATAAAAAATTGATAAAAATAATTTTCTCTCTCATTTCCCTTTTTCTTGTGTTACTCTGAAAAGTTTCTAGTTAATTTTCTTTTTTGTGAATGGTATACATATAAGAGGCTCATTTTTGACTGCGGATGCATTGCGACGTGATGGGAGAGGAGGAAACATCGTGTTCGAGGGTAAAAAAGGGTGAAAGGGTGAAAGAGGGGTTGTTGAGGGATGAGAGGCCGGAGGCTTGAATTCTGGAGGGTGAAATGCGCCGCGACGCGATGCGGCGAAACGGGAGAATTTCCTCTGCATCCGCAGCATCCGCTCTCTTCACCCTCTCGGTCCAGTACATTTTCACAACCGATACTGGACAGTTCTCTCTATCTAAGTAAACTAATATCTTACTCATTTATTTTTCAATTTCTTTTTTCCACAAAATTTATTTAAATAAAATTTAAATTTATTTAAATTTTTCAATTTTTCTTTTTAATTTTCATTCAATGTCAGTGCCAAAAATAAAATCCACATTTTGTTTAAAAAGAAAAATTTAGTAATTTTTAAAAAAAAGTTTTAAGAAAGAAAATTGTTCTTTTATGTAAATTATTAGTAAATTATTATCATTGTATTCTGTTTAATAATAAATCTATTTTTTTTATTTCTAAATATTGAAAAATTTTATAATTTAATTTTAATTTTCAATTGTAGATTTTAAATAATTCATTTGAATTTTTGAAAAAAAAATTTCAATTTAAAAACAAGGAGACAAAAATAGTTTTTTGCTTTACAAATAATTTTTGTTTATGAATATTTACTTTTGAGAGGATATTAAAATTATTTACTCATTAATTTAAGTTTATATTTTGTTAAATTGTAAAAAATAGAAATTTTTTTTTATTAAACTTATCTTAAATAATTTCAGCAATTTTTTTTTTTTTGTTTTAAAAATACAGAATTTCAATAATATATTTACTAATATTTTACTTTGTATTTATCTGAGAGAGGAGAAAATCGAGTTACAAGAGCTCTCGATCCATATCAAGTCATCTCTGTTCCAAGTGTCTATCTTACTCAAGAGGAGGCACTTGTGAATTGAAAAAAAATATTCTAAAGACTTTAACAAAATTAATTATGAATAACTAATTACAAATCAAGCTTGATTCAATTAATTAAACTTGATTCGAATAAATTTGATTTGTTTCAAGTAAATTTTTATTTGTTTCAAAAAATTTGATTTATTTCGAATAAATTTTTATTTGTTTCGAATAAATTTTATTTATTCCAAATAAATTTAACTTGTTACGAATAAATTTTATTTAATTCAAAAAAAGAAATTTATTTGTGCCGAATAAAATTTTTATTTAAAACAAATAAATAATTTAGAAGGCTCTGAGAAAAATGTAATTTTATTTAACTTAAATAAATTATATTTGGTTCAAATAAAATTCTTCGAGTGCAAATAGTTAATTTTAATTAAAGTTAATTCAATTTATTGAACAAAATTTAAATAATTCAAACAAAATTCAATTCTTTGAACCAAATTCAGTAACACAAAGAAATTCAATTGATTTAAACAAATTCAAATATTAAAAGAAATTCAATTAATTGAAACAAATTCAAATAATTAAAACAAATTGAATTTATTGATCCAAATTCAATTATTTATCCAAATTCAATAATTGAACTAAATTCAAATAATTAAAGCAAAATGAAATAATTAAATTAAATTTAATATTTGAAACAAAAAGAAACAAATAAAAAATAATTTAAATTAATTCAAATAATTGATATAAATTCGAAATAATTGAAATACATTCAAAATAATTGAAATAACTTCAAGTAATTGAAACAAATAAAAAATAATTTAAATGAATTCAAATAATTGAAATAACTTTAAATAATTGAAACAAATTCAAAATAATTGCAATTATTTTGAATTTTTTTTCAATTTCAATTCAAATTAAAATACCAATTGTATTAAAAAAATTTCTTCTAAAAATTACAAAACCTAATTTATATTTCCCTGCAAAAAAAATCTAGTTGACAATTGGCACTGCTTTGAAAAAAAAGAAGAAACAAGAATCCTAAGAAAAAGAAAAAGAAAATAAGTAAAACGAAAATTTTTTCCCCAAGTTGGCATTTAAAATTGTGCAAAATTCCGAGACATTGGAGGACAGGAAGTACTTACCCGACACTGCCGGTTATTTTTGTGCTAATTAAGCGCAGTCCACCTGAAAGCAGGTAGCCTAATTGGACGTGAAGACAGAACCTCGTGTTAATTATTTAATCCAGAGAACGAATCCCATTGAGAAAATGTTTCGAGTCACTGAAAAAAAATAGAATAATTAACTCTTAATACAACGAAGAAACAAAAATAATTAATAATTGCCAAAAAAAAGAGAAAAAAAATTCAAGTTAATAATTAACAAAAAACACGAAAATGCCTAAAATTTTTCAACTAAATTAAAAAATTTCAATGAAATTATTATCGAGCGAAAATTGTGAAAATTAAAAGAGTTACTTTGAAAAAGTAACGAAGATAATTCGCACCACAATTTTAATTTTTTATGACAAATTTCTACAATACGTGACCAAATTTTCTTCCATGAATGGCCAAAAGGGAAAAATGGTTAACGGTGAACAACGCTACGGATACATGCCTTGCCCTTTACATGACACAGGTGAGTTTCTTTTATTATAATTAAACAAAAAAAACTTTTTTTCAAAACTTTTTTTTAATTAATCACCTACTAAGATACTTTTCTTTAAAATTAAAATAAAATTTATTTAATTTTTAATTAAATTAATTTAATTCAATTTATTAAAATTATTTTTCTTTTTTTAGACATTTTTGGTGAATTCTTTCCGATTCTCTTTAAATTGTTTACGCTCTATTAATAATTACTAATATAGTAAATGTAATTATGAAATGAATGTATTCATTTAATTAGTGTAATGAATATTTGCGAACAAATTAATTTTTTTAATTTTCTCTTTAATATAAAATAATGATTAATATACTGAAAATTCGATCAAAATCGAAAAGTTCTTGCGAATAATAAATTAAAAAGAATAAATAATATCCATTCTTTACATTCTTTATATTAACATTATTAACAAGAATTTTATATGTAAATCATTTCTAGCAAATATATCAAATTTTAATAGCGTTTAAAGTATAAAGAGCAGATGTGATATAAAGTGTAGTTGGTAAAATTTATGATTTTCAGAGTTATTATCATCATCACTAGACAAAATTACAAACACGTGCTGCATGTATTATATATCTTCCAATTTTCAAAAAAAAAAAAATTTCACACCCATTTCTCAAGATTTACAACTGCCCGAATTTACCGAACATCAAAGTTAATTTTTTTTCCGAAAATCAAAAAATTTTTTTTTGTCACTAATTTCAATAAGTTTTCATGGGAGAAAAAAACGTGAATAATGAGAAACTTGGCGCAGAGAAAAAACTGTATAGAGGCGCGCTGAAAAATTGAAATAAAAATTTAAGTCTAAGAGAGTAGGAGAGAAAAGAAATTCGAGAGAGAAAGAAAGAGAAAGAGAAAGAGAGAGAGATTAAAATTTCGTTTTTTTTCGAAAAGTAAATATATATTTCACTGATGCTTAACGAGTCACCGAAACACCTTGAATTATTTATAAAGTCGCGGTACAGCCAAATACTATAAATATCGACGATAACTTTAACTTTCGTAGACAAATGCCAAAAGTAAATCATACAATATACCATATATTTCAAAAAGTACAATGACAATCGGATAGGAAATAATCAGTATAAATATTTAGGAAAAAAAATCTAAAACTCTGAAAGAATCTAAAACTCTAAAAGTGTCTAAAATTCTAAAAGGATCTAAAATTTTTATACCCAGAGAAAAATTTTATTTAAGGCAAATATAATTTATTTGAGTCAAATTTTTTTATTTAACAGAAATAAAATTTTTATTTGAACTAAACAAAATTATATTTGCACCAAGTAGAATTAAATTTGCACCAAATAAAATTTATTTAAAACAAAAATTAAATTTGAACCAAATAAAATATATTTGACACAAATAAAAAGTTTAGTTAATTTTGAGTCAAATGTATTTTTTTTCTATGTGCATTATTCTTTCTTTCAATTTAGTCTCTAAATCAACTATTTAAATTTGAATTTGTAAAAATGTTTACTAATTTGAATTAGTGCCTTATTTTAATAAGTGAAAAAAAAAATTATTATTCAGTGGAAAACAAATAATGAGTATAGTAAAATTTGACTAATTATTTGTAAAAAAAAATTACTGAAATATCTAGTAGAAGTAAATTTTCTAATTTTATAGTCATTTACGAAAACCAAAAAAATACATTAACTATAATATAAATTGGTCATTTTGACTAAAAATGAATCAGTAGGCCCTAATTTGAAGTAATTAATTACTAATTAGTTATTTTTTACTAAAACTAATCAGTACTAAGTATAGTAATTAATTAGTAATTACTAATTGATAATTTATTTAATAAATTAATAGGAGCTGTTGTATTAGTCAAAAGTGACTAAATTGGACTTAGAGAGTAAAATGTACTATCTCTAAAACTGAATTAGTTAAAAAAATAATTTTTAGTAAAATTTTAACTGTCTGCTTCAGAAATTAGTAAGAAATAACTAATTATTAGTAGAAAATTACTAATTACCAGTTGAAATTTGAAAGTAACAAATTATTACTAGAAAATTACTAATTATTAGTAGAAAATTATACTAGTTACTAGTTGAAACTGGAAAGGAAAAAATTATTAGTAGAAAATTACTAATTACTAGTTGAAAATAACAAATTATTAGTAGAAAATAACTAATGATTAGTAGAAAATTACTAATTACTATAGTTGAAAGTAACAAATTATTAGTAGAAAATAACTAATCATTAGTAAAAAATTACTAATTATTAGAAAATATAAATATTTACAAAAATAGTCAAATTTCACAAATTATGAAATAGTTAACAAAAATTTTAGTTATTTTGACATGAAAGTAATAATTATAGTCACTATAAAAAAATAATTAGTAACTATCATGACTAATTAATCATTGTTGACTCATAATTACTTATTATTGACAATTTGATTAGTAAAATATTACTATTTGAATCTAAGACTAACTTTTTTCTTTAACTAATTTGACTAATTTATTTTTTTTACTAATTCAAATTTAGAGAGTTCAAAACTATTCAAAAACGAATTTTCGAATTTTTTTTCTTTTAACTAATTCAAAACTATTTAAAAATGACCCCCCCCCCCCTCTCCTCATCTAAGAAAAAACAAAAGATTCTAAATAGACAAAATTTAATCTAAAACAGAAAATAAAGTATAAAACACAAAAGAGGTATAAATTAAAATTAAAAGAGGAATTAAAATCTAAACTAGAATTACAAAAGGGATATAAAAGATAAAAAAAAAAAAAAAAAAATTGGTGGAAAAGTCAAGGGTAACGAAAATAAAGTGTAATTAAAGGGATAACTAACTGTCTAATATTGTAGGATTCGTGTATGATTTAATAATTGGCACTTTTTCCAAATAAATATAAAATTACTGAAAGTTCCAAGTTCAACGTGTGTAGGATTTTGGCTAGACACACGAGCAACTATATAGTATTACAAGAGAATGTATTTTTTTTCTTGGGCAAATAGTTTCTCTACATTTATATATATATATATATATATATATATATATATATATATATATATATATACAAAATTTCTTTTGTGCCAAAATCAAAAGGCAATCAGAAAAGATGTAATAAATTTTTCGCTTTTTTAAATTCACTCACATTATTTACTTTGTATTCATATTCTCAAATTCTGTTCGGTATTATTTATTTAATTAAAATTATTGAGAATTCACATAATAAAGTTTTGAACGTTTTAAACGAAATTTTTTTATCGATATAAATATTTGCAAAAAATTACTATATTTCTACAATAAAAAGTAATGACAAAAAATAATTTTTTTCATTTTTAATTTTATTTTAATTTTAATTATTTTATTTTAATTATTTTTCTAATTTTAATTATTACTATAATAATTATATTAAAATAATAAAATATTTATAATTTTTTTATACTTGTCGCCATATAATTATAATAGAATTTGAATTTGAGAAGGCGTTTGCCTTCTCAAATAAAATAAAAAATAAATAAAAATAAATAAATTTCGTTCATTTGAATTTGAACGATCGCAGGACTTTAGGAACATTTATCAAATTTTTCAAAAATATTTCTTAAAGTTAAAATATTTTACTTTTAGTTTTTTATTTTTTAAATTTGAAAATTTTTCTGCTGTCTACGTTTATTATTTATATCTTTCTTACTGCATTTTGGGACTTAGCATTGAGAAAAAATTTTTAGAAAAAATTTCGAGGAGACTGGGAATTGAACTCGGGTTTGACGGACGGCAAACAAAGAACCTAACCAACAAGCTAATAACAACTTTTTAAAAAAAAAATCTTGCTCTTAATGTTTTATATAAAAAAGCTCACTTTCGACTAAAACCTTTTACAAAAATAATCTTTAGAACCATTTTTGACTGAATTTTCGTCTTAAGAGTATAATTTTAAGTCCTTGACATAAAATCTTTATAAAAAAAAATTAAAAATCTCAACCTTATAAAAATAGGCAAATTCGCTAACAATTTTAGCTTTAAGAAACAAACGATTTCAGGTTTTTGTTTTACAGTGTAAAATAGAATCATCTCTCGTCAGTAATTAAACTTTCGGTAAATTGAATTTCTATATGGATTGGAGTTGCGGTTTCGGGTCCCTTGAGAAATTTTTTATGCTTAAAAACATTCGACGAATAAAACACTATTGTTAATTTGAATTTTTTTCTGTCCTTTGCGATTCAATTTTTTATTTTTTATTTGAATTTTTTAGACTTTCTATTTTCAATGTGTAAGATTTTAAGTCCTAAAATTAACTAAAAAAATTGACTAAAATTTAACTAAAATTGAATTTTTAATTTTAATTTTTTAAACTTTCTTTTCAGTGTATAAGATTTTAAGTCCTAAAATTGACTCAATGAAGTTTTAAGCTTAAAAATAGTCTATTTTCCAATTATTTCGGTTTAGCGCCAGATTTAAGCTAAAAAATAATCTATTTTTCAATTACTTTGTTTTTAGCGACAGATATAATTGAATTTTACATCACATAAATAATAGAATTTTTAATTACGTTGTTTCCTAACAAAAGAAGTATTTTTAATTAATTTCTCGAAATTTACTTTAACAATTTTCAAGATAATGCATAAAGTTTTCAAGAAGAGATTTATGTAACTTTGTTTC